AAGAAAGAAGATTGTTTTCGAATTAAATAAAACAATTTTCAACTACTACCATTTAAATCATTCTAATTAAAAAATTGTATCATTATATATTCTTCTAAATTTATCTTCCTTATACATACACATTTACATATATAGATACATACTTAAAACAAAGTATAAATATAGTCAATCAATTTTACAAAATTATAACCTAAAAAAATATCTGTAACCTTTTGCAAAAATTACATGAAAGGTTTAGTAATACATAAAGAAAATATGTAATAATGTACATGCATGGATAGAAGCATCTGTGATTATGTTAACGTAAAAATGCGCTTAGGTTGAAACTACTTCCTTTCTTCACCTCCCCCCTCATCTCCTCTTAACCAACACACATCTCCCCTCTAACCCTATATCTTTCTCTCTCTCTCCTTTCTCTCTCTTTTCGTCACGCCAACATGGAACGCATTTCGTCGACCATACGTAATACGAGTATAGATCGTAGAAAATATCGTTTATTGTTGTAATTCGATAAAAATCAAATTAATTAAAAATAATTAAATATACAAAAGAAAAAGATAAAAATGAATAATATATATTATAATCAATTCAAAGTGTATTATATATCTATCTCTTTTTATCTTTGTCTCTCACCTGTTGGTACGTTGCTCATCTTGTTATCGTAGTTACAACGAAATAGTTTAACTTCCGAAGATGATCGTCCACGTAACGAGACACTTCTTTGATATTTTTAGATATTATTTTTTCTTCTTCTTCTTCAAATTCGTAATGCACTTCGGATGACCGTTCACAAGGAAGAATGTCACGTCGACACTTATCGGAAAAAAGTACGCGAGACTAGAAGACGTGTAGTACGCCGTCACCGGGTCGTGATCGATTCCTTCTGAGTGCCGTGCGTCGAATGTCGCAGCAGCCATATTGGAGCTGCCACCGTCGCGCTCAGCGTCATCTGACGGAAAACGAATGAACGATTGTTAGTGAGGTGTCGGTAAGGAAGGAAACATATAGATGACCTCCTAAGTAATGTCGATTGATAATATTTATGTTCGTTTGTTTGAAATGTTCCTAAATTACTATTTTAAACATTTTAAACTACTCTATAGTGCGTATATAATTAAAAAAAAAGCTGTTTATTATATTAATTATTAATGGCTGTTTATTTTAGCATTCTTTTAATTTTTACGTAATTATTTAAACTAATGTGTATTTGTAATTTCTGCGTAGTGATGAATTCTAAGATAAATTTTACGTCTAATAGAATTATCATCTCGAAATTATTTAAAAAATATTGAATGTATATTATTAAAAGTATATAATGTTTAAACAAATGCATATACATTTAAACCAAAAAAATATAAGTATTTTTAACGTAAAGTAAAATAAATGAAAAGATATTGATTATTTTTATTTTGAGAGAAATCTATACACCATGTATATAAACCGCAAATAATTTGATATGCAAAATCAAACATCACATAACTCTGCATGTATAGTTATTTCTTAATAACGTTTATTTCTAATTTCTATATATCTATTTACAGTTATACACTGGCTCATCTATATGCAACTTAAAACATGTTAATTCATATTATCTAGAAATTTGCGAACTTTTCATAGAAATGTTTTCTAAACAACGCAACGATCAGTTCAATTATATATGGTTATATAAAGATTAATCATTCTTTTTTTTTGTTTGTTCTTATTTTTCTTTTCTTTTTTTCTTTTACAGGATCATGTTCTCTTTTTGTTCTAGTATATATCACGGATGATCTTGGATACATTTTTCCTTTTTCTTTTCATTTGGATTATTGTAATATTACGTCGTATCGAAGCATAAAAATGTTCGTATTGCATAGAGATCAATTCCTATGTGGATCAGCGTACACACACGCTTATAGTTATTATTTTACCGTGTCATTTTCTGTGGCTTCTTGTCAATGTAGATATGTGTGTATGTGTGTATGTGTGTATGTGTGTATGTGTGTTCATATGGTCTGTTATGTATATATATGTTATCTAACGATAATTTTCATTTATCTGAACGTTATCTTGGATTACAATTTATCATTGATCGATAAGTGTTAATCAAGATCTCGTTGATTTGTTTTACAATAGAACCTCGATTTGTTATCTGCCCATTTTTTTATTTTAAATATTTTTATTTTTTTGTTCCTTGCATTTTTTTGTTATCCTAGTTTTTATTACACATGTCATTTAAATAGATTCTTATGTGGTAATACATGTTTTAACATTAATAGAGTCGTTTCTAAAAATTACAATAAGCTTTACACAACAAAAGAATATACACATATATATATAATTATTATATTTAATAATAATAGATAATCGATGTTTCCAGATTGCCGAAAATGTTGACATGATCGAGGCTCTACCATATCGAATTATCTTACACTTATATTTTTATGTATATAGATTAGTATACACTTTGATTTCATTTAGAAAGATTTGTAATTATTGTTATTAGTAGTGTTATATTACTATTATTATTATTATTTTTATTATTAACATAATTATTATTAGTATTATCGACATCTCGAATCTCCATTGAACGCTTGATTTCTAAAAAGCGTATTTAGATAGTCAAAGGACTATCTTAAAAGATTCGAAATAAAATTAGCTTTGTCTGTTAACTATTATAATGGCGATGAACAAATTAAAAAAGCATTTATTTATTAAGCTGTGTTGTTCAATATTCATTTATGTAATTTTGTACTTTGCGTATATACTTGTATGTACATACACATATACGCATATGTATAAATGTGCGCGCGCGTGTGTGTGTGTGTCCACATTTAAATCGTTACTAATTTTTATTTCAAATTAATTCAAAGCAAAAGAAAAGAAGAGAAAGAAACAAAATAATGAATAAAAATTAATAATAATTATTATGGAAGAATTTTTGGATCTTTCGTAACAAAATTTATCCTTCGCTTTAAATTGTGGTTTTGTTTTTTTTTCTGTTCTTCTTTTAAACGACGATTTTTAATACAATTACACAACGTTCCTGAAAATTCCAGCGAGCTAAGCTGGTAAGCTTGCAGATTTAGAAGCTCTTTAAAGGCCGTATATATTCTGATCTAATCCTAATTCTATTTATCAACTCGAATCGGAAGAAGATACTTGCGTTTGCACAACGAAGTATTTTATTATAATTGAAAAATGTCTAAATTCTGTGATTAGTTAAAAACACTTCTTAAAATGGTGCTAGTGTGCTAATATTAAAAAACTATCATATATATAATTAAAAATAATATATAATCAAATGTAAAATTCTAAACTTAATTAATCACAACCTAATCACGTATATAATTAAAAATTTACACTAATAACTTATCTATAATAATTAGTATTTTTTTGGTTCTTCATTTGTTGTACTTTTTTTTTGTTTAGTTAATAGCATTAATTGAATTACTTTAAAACGAATAGTTCTTTTTTTTAGATAAATAAATAAAATCGGTATAAGCGTTATGATACAATCGTTCTCTTTTTCTATATATATATATATATATGTATGTACATAGAATAGCAAGAAGCTACCGATTATTTCATATTCTTTACCATTTCGTTTAGTTTATAAAAATAGTTTCAGAGAGACGCTAAGATTTGTTTTATTTTTCTTCATAATATTTCGATTTTATTAAAAATGAACGCATAATAGGTGTGCTGCTTGAGCGTGCTCTTAAAAACTTTTTTTCACGACAAGTTCTTTGGACAGCTTATGTTGGTTTGTTTGTTGATTAGAAGAGTACGGTTGCTCGTATGATTTACTTTAGTTCCTTTTTTCTTTCTAATTCTCTCAAGTGGAAGATTGTAAGTAAGGAAGAACCAATTTTTTGTTCTTTCTAATATAAAAAAGTTCTTCTCGAGGATAGTCGTATTCGCCATTTTGTTAACAACATTTATATTGTTAGTATGTAATATGTATGCATGTATGTATGTATATGTATCTATGTATGTACATCGAGATGCGCGCGTGCATATAATAATACGTTTATATCTGTCTTTTTTATTTTTATTTTTATAGCTTGCGTATTGCTTTTTATTTTTTTAAACAAAATTAATTGAAGACAGAGATAATATGGAGAAATAGAGATAGCGATTGAAGACAAATTCAATGAAATTTCTTTGAATTTATCTTTTACTAATCATACGTACTTTTGTTTCTTCGTAGTTGAAATTTTTTACACACACACGCACACACACACACATACATTTAATTCTTGTCTAAATTGTTATTATTTCATTATTTCACTTTGAGAAGGTCTCTATGTTAGAAATTGATAAAACAATTTTATTATCTATCGATGAATGGCATACTAACGAGTTGACACATTACTAACGATCGCCTTGATTAATTCATTAGTTGAGAGCATGCCAAAAAATTGGTGTTGTTGATGACAAGATTAAGTTAAACAAAAACAGAAAAAGAGAGAAAGAGAGAGAGAGAGAATCTGATTCTAAACTTTCGTGTAATTGGTTTGGTTGGTAAACACGCCTACATACACACACATAAGTATTTATTATCTGCGTATATATATATATATATATACA